GAGCCAGTGCTCTATCCACTGCACCACCTAGCTGCTCATTGGATGCTCCTTCTTTCAGCCCTTCTGGGTCAAGAAGAGGAGCAGACATACTCCTTTCTCCTCATCCCTATTTGTTTATCTCATTTTTATGGAAATTTCACCCAGTCTAACTCCCTGTCCCACAGTTACCTATTGACCTCCAGGTTTCTTTCTTTTCTCAAAGAACTCAGACCCTAGGTACCAGTTTTCCTCCCCATTCCAACTCTTGCTTTCATAAGTGGGGATTTTAATATGCACACTGATGTCCTCTCAAGCATCTTAGCTAACCTCCTCAACTTCTATGAGTTCACCTTCATTCATCTACACGCAAGGATGATTATATGCTTGATCTGACCATTATCTGTAACTGCTCTGTCTCCATGGCTGAGAACTCTGTAATTCCTCTCTGACCACCATCTCTTATCTCTTATTCTCTCCATCTGCTTCACTCTCCTTATTCTCTGTGTTCATCTTGAACTGAAGTTCTTCTACTCCATTGCTCCTATTCTGGCCTTATGTTCCTCCTTTCCAAATCTTGACCCATGTTTGACCAATTCAGTCACACTTTATCAGCTAACCTTGAAATTCTCACTGGCTTCCTATTGTTAGTGACACACTGCTGAACCCCAACCTTACTTCCCCCTCATGATCTACTTTTTGTGCTCCTATATATGTACTGTTGAATACTGTTGGAAAAAATAATGAAACCATGCTGAGTTTACTACAAATGTATCTAATTTCTTTTTTAAAAAATTAATTTATTTTAAAACATTTTATTTATTTTAAATTTAAATGCAAAACAAAAAAAAAAGAAAAAAAACATTTCCACATACACAGCACAACATGAGAGGATTTAATACAAAATGATAAATTTTCATTTTACAAAAACCTATGTAATAAATCCTACATGTTGTTTTCAAAGCAACCCAGCTTTTCTGTGCTTCCTTCTAGATTTTCTTCTGTTCTCTGCTGCGCACTTTTTGTTTTATTTCCCCCCCAATCAATCTTAAGAAGGCTACAATTAAACACAAATATATATGTATATATATTAAACACAAATATATATAATATATATACATACATATATATGTATATACACGTCCATAAATATACACATACATATATACACATATACATATATTTAAAACCATACTGTGCATATTTATATTTGTCAGTTCTTTCTCTGGAGGTGGATAGCACCTTTCTTCATAGTTTCCTTTGTAGCTGATTTGAATATTTATAATACTCAGAATAGCTCAGTTGTTCACAGTTATTCTTTGAACTATATTGCTGTTACAGTACACAACATTCTCTTGGTTCTGCTCATTTCACTCTTCATTATTTCATGCAAGTCTTTCCTTGTTTTTCTAAATCAACCAGCTCATCATTTTGTCATATCTACTCTCAACTGGGCCATCTTGTTTTGTGGCTGGCTTTAACTATTCCAAACCTCCTCTGTCCTCAGACTTCTCATATCATCTTCCCTTCTCCCTCTCAGCAAAGACCTCCTAGTTTATCCCTACTCTATATCTCACAGGCCTTGTTTAACCACTATTCTCTCCTCCTTTGTTCTAGTCTCTGATACAGAAATGGTCTTTCTTTTAGCCAAAGCCAACCTTGCCATTTATATTCTTCATCCTATCCTCTGCTGTTTCTTTCAGCAGCTTGCCCCCGTCCTTTCTGTTGTTTTCTATTTCTCCTTATCCAAGCCTCCTTCCAGGATGGTTACACGTACACCCAGATCCCTCTCATTATTTAAAAAAAAAACAATCCAAACCCAAATCTTCAAATGAGCCTGGCTGGCTTCCCCTCAAACAATTGCCTGACTATTATTTTCCTGTTTCACAACCAAACTTCTAGAAGGTGCAGTCTATACTTATTTCTTCCACTTCCTTACCTCCCACTCATTTCTCAAACCTTGCAATGTGTATCCCAACTCCCTTAATTGACTCATACTGATCAGCCTAAGTATACTAAGGATCTCTTACTTGATAAATTCCATTGTCTTTTCTCAGCCTTGATTTTACTTGACCTCTCTATAGCTTTTAATCCTGTCAGCCACCCCTTTCTCCTGGATGCCCCTTTCCTTTTTGTCCTCTTTTGTCTTACTTGACTTTTTTTTCTCTTGATTTTTCGCTACTTGTGTGACCTTTGATTTTCAGTCTCCTTTTGTGACCTTTGATTTTCGGTCTCCTTTGCTGGATCCTTATTTTCCTGAGCACTAAGTGTGGGTGTCTTCCAGGGTTCTGCCTTGAACCTTTTCTTCTCTCTCTACATTGTCTCCACCTGCTATCTCACTAGATCATTTCTCTGTAGATAACTGCTAGATCTAGATATCTAGTCCTAATTATGACCTTTAATTGCAGTCCCACATTATGAAACTTTTGCTGGATGTTGCCACTTAGATGTCTTATCTTAAACTCAACACTTCCAAAATGTTTTCCCTGAAAATGCCCTACTCCTTCCTTTAAACTTTTGTATTTCTTGTGAGGACATTATCATCCATTCCTTCCTATCTCTTAACTCCCAAATCCAATCAGTTGCCAAATATTGTCAATTCTATATTCATGATATCTGCCATATCCATCCCTTCTCTCTACTCACTCAGCCTCTATCCTAGTTCAGGCTTCCATTGCTTCTCACCTGATTAGTAGGACAAGCCTTCAAGTCCTTCACACCTTCTTAGTGTAGCTAGATAGCACAGGGGATAGAGCTCTGCACCTGCAGTCAGGAATACTGCTTCAGGTCCCAAACTGCTGGAACTTTCTAAACTTGGTCATTCCTCAATTTCCATTGGGAGCAACTTCAAAGCCTAATATGTCCCACTCAGCCTTAGCCAGTGGCAAGCTTTTGAAGAGCAGTAAGCACATCACCCTAGGATCAGTAGCTTCAGCTTGTAAAACACAATTTGAAACCTGTACTTATGTGCCTCCTTGGCAGTCCAGCACTGATTGACAGTGAGTGACTCAGAAGTAGTTTCTAGCATTAGTGTGTAGCCTGGTATTACCATGGAGATCCTGCCTAGGATCCATCAGCCAGTACCATGTTAGAATGGACTCCCATAACCATCTTACATGTAGTAAATACATTATGTAAGGTAAGTACCTTACATAAGGTGAGGATAGTGGAAAGAACATTGGCTCTAAAATCAGAGGGCCTTCACTGAAAACCTACTTCTTTTTCTAATTACTATTTGGGCAAGCCATTCGAATTCTGTATTTTAGCTTTCTCAGCTCCCAAATGAGGCTGTTAAACTTAGCTGATCTCAAAGGGTCTTTTTTATGTTTAGATCCTCTAAGACACAGACTTTTAATTCTCAGACACCAGGCTTGGACAAAAGAACAGCTTATCATAATTAACTTGTCCTATGTTTGTACCAGTGATTTCAACTGAAACACGTTTTAATTTAATTACTTGTTTCCCCTATATCATTGTTATTTTTCTTTTATTATCTCTTATTAAATAGCTATTGCTAATGAGGCAAACAGGTACTTTATTTTAAGAATGTGGAAAACAATCTTTAGCATATTTCCTCCTCTTCAAGATAAAACAGAAGAGAGGTTGTGAGGTAAACAATAATTTTAGAAGGAGTAGGTTTAAATATTCTTTTTTTCCAAAGAAAACAAGAAAGGCCATACCCAATGTTCTATTCCATACCATATTTTGTCTCTGACTATGGTAAACCTCCATGAAGTTGACTTAAAAAGGCTTAAGGATGGACCCTAAGTACCCTTGACTTTCTTTTAATGCCCTGTTACAAACCTATCATCCATAAATTTAATCAAACCTTTCTTGAATATTTTCTATAATGATGTTTTCCTGGAGTAACAAGGTCTATGTGTTTCATTGTCCCCTGAATACATTATTCCTCCCCTGTAACCCTCTTTTCTTAAATGGTGTTCAGAATTATTCCGGATGTTAGTGTGGGGAATTAACTAACAACTTTCCTCTGCTTAGCTCTGGGCATAGCGTGTGTCAAGGATGTGGTAGAATCAGCAAGGGGAAAACAAATTTAGTGCCTTCCGGGTATGCCAAATATAGTGACCATTAGTTTCTAAATAATTGTGGTGAGTTTAAAACCAAAAAAAGTATTCATTTTAAATTTGGGACTCTTGTTCCCCAAAGCATCTTATAAAAGCAGGTCAAGCTTAGGACAATATAATAAGAGGTGATCTGAAAATAGTATGGAGGGAATTGCATTAGCTTTGGACACAGGCAGTGGAGAAGAGGTGGACTGGGAGTTGGAGGCTTCAATTCCAGCTTGGGCTCCCTTAGATATTTGAGCAAGTTACTCTCTCTGGGGCTTTGCAAAATGGTGGCATGACTACCTGCACCTAGCTCACAGGTCTGTTGAGAACACCCCAAGTGCTCTAGACACGGAAGCAACATTGGATGACAGCATTTAAAGTGCCCAGTAGCAAAGCAATGGAAGGCACCCACCACTTGAAGGTGACCTCAACTTTAAATCTCATTTTCATTTTCTAGTTCCCTGACAGCCCCAGCACTGGGCCTAGAGTCAGGAAGACCTGAATTCAAATCTAGCCTTGGGAACTTACTAGCTGTGTGTCCTTGAGTAAACCACTTACCCTCAGTTTCCTCGACCATAAAATGAGCACAGATAATAGCACCCGCCTCACTCAAGTTGTTGTGAGAATCAGATGAGATGATATTTACAAATTAGCACTGTGCCTGGAATATAATAGGTGCTTAATAAATGCTTGTTCCCTTTCCCTTCTCCCCCCAGTCCTGCTGACATCACAGATTAGGGTTTCCTAGATTCTGTACCAGGTTGCATCTCTGCCTAGTTTCTTATTAGACAGTTCTCTTCCCCTTTTTCTAAGGAGGCTATTTCCCTCCCTGATCCAGTACAAAGAAAGAGAGGCCTATTTAGGCCAGGAAGTAGAATGCCTGATGGCCCTCTTTACAATCTAGAGCTGATGGCAGTGTGGGGGGAATTTATAATCCTGACAAACAATCCTTACCTTGCCTTCTCTAGTCCTCCTTTTTTGGCATTTCTCTCCACAACTGCATTTTCTTGTTTTTTGGAAACTCGCATTCCTCCTGCTTTGACTGCAAAGAGAAAGAGCAGAGATGTGAGAGCTTCCCAGCAGAGCTGTGGGGAGGTTTGCTTTCTTATTGACAGCCTTGAATTTTAAACATTGCAGCTTTAGAGCAATAGATAGCCTGAAGCTTAAGAATTACAGATAATTTTTTTTAAAAGATCACTTAATTACAGCCCTACTTAAAGTAGTGAAGTAAGAGTTGTGTTCAAACAGCATAAAGAAAACTTTTGTTTAAAAAAAGTCTTTGTAGCCCACTTGTTTGTCTTCTCCCTGTAATGTGATTAGAAGAAAAAAAGACAAACCTCAGAATTTTGCAGCACAGTACAATGGAAAGAACCCTCACCAAGGAATCAGAGTTCAGATCCTACTTATCACTTTTGTGATTTTAGGCAAGTCCCTTAGCTTTCCTGGGCTTCAGTTCCCCTCTCTGTAAAATGAGGGGATTGGACAAGCTGGTATCTGAATCTCTTCTAATTTTTAAATTAATGGACCTATATTTGGGAAGTAGAATCCTAATTAATCATAAGGCAGTTAGGTAGCTCAGTGAAGCCTGGAGTCAGGATGGTGTGAGTTCAAATTGTGTCTCGGACACTTACTAGCTATATGACCCTAGGTAAGTCACCCTCTATCTGCCTCAGTTTCTTCAACTATGAAGTGGGGATAATAATAGGATCTCTCTCCCGGGGTTGTTGTAAGGATCGAATGACATAATGCTTGTTTAGCACAAGACCTGGCACACAGTAGGCTCAAAGAATTGCTTGTTTCTTTCCTTCCTTTAGAAGACCACAGGTATTTCTCCCCTCTATGATGACTGCTGGGGTGAGATTGGAAGAGGGGTAGGGAGTCTGGGTAGGTAAGTGGTGACAAACTCAAATAGAATGACCCCTGTGGGTCACATATTGACTTAGAAAGCTACAAATTAACGTTATCTATGTTTTATTGTATTTTTATTTATTTTGTTACACATTGCCCAATTACATTTTCATCTGGTTCAGTCTACATTGAGTGTTGTTGTTACTGCACAGGTAGGCTGTAAATTTCACACCTATGATCTAGACCAATTCATTTTACAGATGAACAGCAAATGAAGGAATGAGGTTTAGAGAGATTAAATGACTTTGGCAAGGTTACACAGCAATAGAGACAAGGTTCATTCACTCAAATTCATTTAGATTCACTCAGGCCTTCTACTTAAGAAAAAGATTATCATGTAACCATGTTTTTGCATAGTAGTGATTGGGAATTGTAATGTGATGTCCCCATTTTTCAATTGGCATCTTTTTCAGCCAAAGTTTCTGAAAGCCAAATAATGTGGGATGTACCTAAAGTCATGATAACATGGGTTTCATTCAGCATAAGTGCCTATAAACATAAGGACCACCCCTTGTTATGACACAGACCCCAAAAAACTCAAACATAAATGTTCTAAATTAATTACATTGCATTAATAATCATGCCATTCACAAGACCAATTAGGACTAATCAGGCTACAGATGACCTAACAACAACAATTCAAGTGTTGAACGATGTCAGCTGAAATCAACTTCTAAGAAAGAATAACTTATTTCAGTGAACATGTCAAATCAAATTCTTTTTTTCCCTTTATGCTCGGGAAATCTACAAATTGAAAAGCAGTCAGATAAAAAAAACCTGAATGTATGTAAATTTGTTAGAACTCATTAATTCTTCTTGTGGATAGGTAATATCTGCAGTTTTCTGTAACTATTTAAAAGAGAGCAAAAAAATGAAGAAAACTTATTCTATTCCTGAAAGCACTTCTGAAAAGACGAAAGAATTCTTCATTTATTGCCTACATGATTTATGTTGGAATTCTGCTAGGTTCACTCAGACAAGAAAAAAAAAGGGGGGGTTTTTCTGGTGGTACCTTGTCTATTTTGCATTCCGATTAGATGTTTATACAAAAGGAAAACTGAAAGGACAACAGTAAAAGTCAAGTATGAGTAAAATTATATGTTCTGATGTAGTCTTCAAATCTAGAATGAAAGTTTTTCTTAAAAGAGTTCAGAAATACACAGGGCAGGCAAGCTAGCCTAACTGAAGTAGCAAGACACTCTGAGGGAAAGACAAGAGGTGGCATGCACCAGGTGAGTCCAACCATTGCTACTACCTTGATCACCACCTCCTTTCACATCCTCATGGAAACAACCCAGGACCCTGAACGCAAGACTTATAGGAGTAGTAATGGCCCTCAGACCAGCCACCTGGCTTCCAAACTTACCCCATCATGGAAGAGAGAAACACCTGTCAAAAATGGCCCTGTTATCCTTCATGTACTGAGGGGTGAAGTGGGAGGGGTGGGTCTGCTTTCCTCTTGCTTGATCTTTTTCAATAGCAAGGCTTTGGTAATTCCAATCCCTATGTCTTCCCTGGCTCCCAGGTGCTCCACTCAACTCCCAGAGGTGTTCAGGGGAACCCTATTCCATAACTGTTCTTTTTACGGGTATCAGGACTTATTTCTTCAGTTTAGTGGTGTGGCCTATGTGCATTTATGCAGTTAGAGTCTTGACTCTGCCACAAACCACTAAGAAAATTTTCTTTTTTCCCCTTTCTGCTTTGTTTCAATGGAATGTAATTATAAGCATGGGGTAAGAGTTGACCACACAAGTGAGAGAAATGAATGTTTCTCTCTTGTAGTTAATAATTATTGAATTAGGATAAAGATTTTTCCCCTTTTCTACTTCCTCATCTTGAAATCAACCAGTGTGGGAAATCTTGGGCAAAGACTGACCCTGCCAGGAAGGCTATGATCTAATCAAAGACTGTAAAGAAATTCTAAGTTTAGGTGAATGGGTGGATTCCTACTCATTGTGTTTTACTCTGACAGGCCTAGGAAAATGTGGATTCTCCCTTTTGTCAAAGGGATGATATGAATATTGATAAGTCTCTGTGACCAAGACTGAGTGCTTAGTGTCACCTACCTCTAGACCCTCACTGGAATAAGACTACCTCTCATTATAATATTCATCCTCTCATTACTTGTTAACCAATCAGAATTGATTTCCACCCTCAGGTGCATCCCCTTAAATGTTGAAAGTTTGACAGGCTTGCTCTCTTTGTTCACCGAGGGAAACAATGAGTCTACTTTGTTGACTGCTTTCTAGTTAATAAAAGTGATTATAATTTATCCAGAAACTCTGTCTCTCAGAAATTTTCAATCATCACACAGCTATAGTTTAGCTATAGACAGTCATTTATTCAAACATAGAGACAAAAAGAATAAAATCTAATATATTAAAACAACCACCGCATAGGTTAAGTACCTAAGGCTCTTCCCAGAAATGACAACCCCAAACCAGTCTATATTGAGAAGATAACAGGGAAGGCAATCTGTTGAAGGAGAAGCATGGAATAGGATCATAATTAACCCTATTTTATGGATTAGAAAACTGGGGTTCAGTGAAGTTAAAGAGGCTTATTCAAGGTCATGAAGTTAATGTGTCATGGCTAGAATTCAACTCAAGGTCCACCATTCTTTCCACGATACCATGATAACTTTCCAGAATAGCCCCTAGATATCCTCTATAATTTCAGAAGTAAGAAGTAGCACCAATGGATAGAAGTGTTAAGGATATAAATTTTGACTCAATATTTAGAAGAATTTTCTAAGAATTGAAGCTTTTAAAAAAAATGACAAGGGATGATACGTATGTAGTAAATTCCCTGCAGGGATGTTGTGAGGCTCAAATGAGATAATGGATGTAAAGTACTTTGCAAACCTTAAAGTACAATAAAAATGTTAGCTTTTATTATAATTAGCTTCTAGACACCAGGCCTTCAGTCTGGAGATAACTTCATTTTCTGAGCCTTCTATTGCACTTCTGCTGAGCTTAAGCAATATTTATAGAGCAATGCAGGGTTGTGTCCTGGTAAATGTTTAACAAGACAAGGGGGCATGGGAATGCATGCATATACTTCTACATTTAATCTGCATTGTTATACTTTCGTAAGTCCAGGCAATCAACAAAACAACAAATCAAGATTTGAAGCAATTGCTGATTTCTTTCTTCTTTTTTTTTTTTGGTAAGGCAATTGGGGTTAATGACTTGCCCAGGGTCACACAGCTAGTAAGTATTAAGTATTTCATCTGACACAGGATTTAAACTGAGTTCCTCCTGACTCCAGGGTCGGTGTTCTATCCACCGCGCCACCTAGCTACCCCACAATTGCTGATTTATGAGGTGGTGTTGAGTCATTTCAGTTGTGTCCTACTCTTCATGATCTCATTTGAGATTTTCTTGGCAAAGATACTGGAGTGGTTTGCCATCTCCTTCTCTAAATGAAGAAACTGAGGTAAACAGGGTTAAATGACTTGCCCATGGTCACATAAGTATATGAGGCTGAATTTGAACTCAGGAAGAGAACTCTTCCTCTATTCCAAGCCCATCGCTCTGTCCACTGTGCTACTCAAAGTGTAAACACATTGAAAATTTAAAAATAGTCTCTTGTAAGCTGGTTAGGACTGGCTCCAGAATAACCCTGGTCCCTGCCAATTTAAGTATATATTCCCTGACAGAAAGGTTGTAGACAATGGAAAGTTGGACTAAATGATGTCTAATGTTCCCTCCTGCGCTAGTGTCCTATTGTTCTAGTAAAGAATATCCTCTCCTTTCTCATTCCCTCACACCCTCTTCTCTTCTTAAGAACTTGGGACAGAGGATGAATAGTATTGTTCCCCAAACAGTAAAAAGTAATTGAGGGGAAAGAATTTCTACTAAATCTTTATGAGAATGGTCTAGGTACACATAGGCTATCTTTGAAGATAACATGAGAAGGGAAGGGACGAGTAGTTATAGGCAGTTTTCTACAACAGGCCACCAAGTTTTTAAGGCAAACTAACTAAATAAAGGATCGAGAACAAGATCCTCTTATGTTTGTTGTTTATTGACTTGAAGAAAGCATTTACTTCAACAGAATAAACAGCAGCATTGAAAACTCTCTTCAGGTAAAGTCTCTCTCATACATATACTAAAATCACACAAGACTCCA